TTTTTTTTTTTTTTTTTTTTTTTTTTTTTTTTTTTTTTTTTTTTTTTTTTTTTTTTTTTTTTTTTTTTGTCATCAGGTTCTCGACTGCGATCGCGCGTACGCATATACGTACAACGTTATACACGCACGTATTATTTTAGTGAGAGAGAGATAGAGAGTTCTAGGCCTATATATAATAATAACGCACGCGCTACAGGGTGCGCGCACATGTGAGCGAGCGGTGCAGCTTACGGGGCGCGAGGCGAGCTTGACAGGTGCCTCGACAAAAAACTCGAGGCGAAGAAAGTGGAAAGATGTAAGAAGAAGGGCTGGCGGACCACATGTGGCACTCGTATTTAACACGATATAGCTCTGTACAGTGCAGCAGGACTCATGATGTCTATCATATATATATATATATATATATATATATATATGTGTGTGTGTGTGAGTGTGTGCGTGTGTACAGCGTAAAATGTCATCCCCGTCGTTTTGTCCCCTTCCCCCTTTTTTATTATTATTGTCTGCATCTTATACTGTAGTGCGTGCGTTATGCTGAGTCGTTACTCGCCGAGTAAATATTGCCGATTTTTTGCCGGTCTCTCCCCCATCGGGACGCTCTATATAAAGCGCGCGATATATAGGACAGTCGTTGCAGCCGAGATGTATGTGCATGTGCAGTTGTTGTTGTTGCGCAGGACAATTTTTCGAGCTTTTCGATTTTTTTTTTTCGTTTACTCCGTCGAGAGACACACGTACTTACGTTTCGCCCTTCTATTTTCATCTCGCCCGTTGTTGTTTATGCGTGCCCTCTTGGGACCCCCCCATTGAAGGTGTCCTACCGAAACCAGTAAAAAAACTTTCCATTGATTTCTATTAGGCTATTGCACCCGAAACTTACCATCCGGATGACAACACCAAAACGATGGGTCTAAAGTATTTTACATGCAAATTGAAAAAAAAAAACAAAAAAAACTATTGTTAATAATTTTTATTAAACCTTTGAAGATCTCTCCATTTTGGTGTTGCCATACCTAAGACCGAAATTTGTCGTTACGAGACTTTATTTGTGTATTTTCAGTGGAGTTCTCAAGAGTCGACAATCCATAAAACACTTAAACGCGTCAAGCACTAATCGTAAGTACATTGACACCCCATATATATATACGAGAGGAGGAAAAAGGAGGGAAAAAAAAATAGAAGAAGAAGACAGTGGTGCGACAGAAGCTGCGAGGGAGGGATGAGTGAAAAGGACCGTTGGGTCTGATGTATATATAAGCATATAACATCTTACGGTAGTCGACCACGGGGTTCTCGGGGGTGCATCGAATATCCTATACGCTAGTACATGTACATATATATATATGTATACGGTAGCATGTTACAATTATATAGATACACTGACTCTATGGAGAGGTCAACGTCTCGGGTCCCGTATATCGTCATCCCATGCGTAGCTTATGTAGTTTCATGCCTCGGAATTGTGAATTTCTCCTAGAGTGTCGTTTGTGTGCACATATTATATATACTTATATAGTTGGGGGGAAAAACACACGTGTGGGCGAGTGCATTGCTCGGACGCGGTGTGCGCACACAATATGGAGCGCATCTATAGAACGTTGACACGACGCCCGGCTCGCGCGCGTCGCCCCGAGAGAGACTCATCTTTTCTTTTTGCAAGGGCGCGCGTCGCACATGCATGTGCTTCTCGCGCGCGCGGTTGCATTACTTGCCCCTTTTTTTTTACTTTTTTTTTATTTTTTTTTTTATTTTTTTACTTTCGGCAAGCCTCTGAAAATTATTTTGAAAAATCTAAACCCCCTCTCGCCGTCGTCCCAGTATATTATGGTATACACGCCACACGTGCAGAGCGATCTGCACAAGTCTCTCTCTTTCTTTATTAACACTTTTATCCCCCATACGTTTTACTCTGTTTCATGCAATGGTTGACACTTTGCGTTACGCAAACCATTATATCTCTCTATTTGTTTATTTATTTATTTTTACTTTTTAATTGACAAAGTGTGAGTGGCTTGAAAATGGCTTTTATGCTTGAGGCTTTGTGTTCAATATTTTTTTTTTTTTTTTTTTTTTTTTTAACAATGTAACGTGTACACGGCAAGGTGAGCTACGAAAATCGGTATGCCCTTAGCTCCTTACATTAGCTAAATGTATTCTGATTCTACTGTTTTCTTTGCTTTTTTGCATTAATTTTGTAATTAATACGCTTAGGCTGTAATATGCTTCAATGAAAATTATAACTCTTTGACCATTTGTAATTGCACCATGTGCGCACGTTATCATTATTATAATTATTTTATATAACATACGTTACGTATAAATATACATTTAAATGAAGGATCGATATTTCTTGAGCTCAGCAGCAGCAGCTGTTGGTGTACTTTGTATCTACTTGAGCGTGTAAGTATTAGAAAAAGCTGCGGAGGATCCAAGTATCTTTTTTTTTTTTTTTTTTTCCCCAAAGCCGTCTCTCTATCTTTTTCTCTTTTGATCCTCATTATATTATCTATACGTACTGGATCCCCCGCGTTTTTCCAACATTACGGAGGACATCGGGAGTGTCGACAGAGATAGCGCGAGGGCGGACTCAAGCTCCGGAGCTCTTTTCTTTCTCTCGGGTTTTTCCCCCCTCCTGCGCCTGTCAACTTTTGAGATTTCGAAATCGGAAAGCGCGAGGAAAGTCGGGCTTGTCCCTGCGTTCCCACACCAATTACTACCATACACTCTGCTACCATCTTGAAGAAAAAAGGAAAAATATATATTTTTTTTTTTCTTTTTTTTTTTTTAAGTGTGGGAGGGAAAATATGAGTAATTAGAGCCACCTGACGGCAAAACGTGTACGGTTCAAACTCATCGCTTCGCGCTCCGACGGACCCTTTTTCTCATCGACATTCAAGTTACTATTTCATTTGTTGAAAAAACTTTTTTTTTTTTTTTTTTTTTTTTCAAGTATTACCAAATGTCGTGTCGATTCGTGACAAAAATAGTACGCCTCATGTAGACAGAATGAAAGTTAAGTGTGCGACACATGTGCAAGTTGTACATTCACTCTGGATTGAAAATGCCAACAAAAGAAGAAAAAAAAAAAAAAAAAAAAAAGACTTACACGAAAGGTCAACCATACAATATGTTAATTTTTTTTTCTTTTCTCAACCAAAATCAAATCTAATCCAAAAACTAACGTTGAACTTAGCGAAATGAATAAATAAAAAAAAAAAAAAAAAGAATCGAGAAGCCTGACGACGACTCTCGTAATCAGAAAGCGATGGAAATATTGGCTTTGAAAATCTGATCGAGGTGACGACGAGGCGCGTGCGAGTACTTTTTCTTCTTCTTCTTCTTCTTCTTATTTCAATTTCGCGCGATGTACAAGCGCGTTTTCGACACACGCACGGAGATAAGCCCCCGATTTTAGGTAAACAGCGCGCACATATCGTTCTCTATGAGATGATCCGAACAAAAGATAACAACAATATTCGGATAATGATCGAACGACTATGAATTTGTCCGTACACGCCATGGAACAAACGAACCTCGTAAGTATACATTACGTATACAGAAGAAAGACGCGGAGGAGGAGGAGGAGGAGGAGTGGGCGGCGCAAAGAAGCGCTGCACTCCCTTTTTACCCCCGTATTCCATAAAGCGCACTCCAACCAAAAGCCCAGCATCGGCCGCGAGGGAGGAGAGCCATCCTCGACGGTGGGGACCCTACGCGCGCAAGTATAGGTACACGCGCACACACATTCCGGGGCTTATCTCTCGTTTATTATTACGCAGGGCCCCCGTGCACCCTGAGCTTACAACTCAGTCGGCTCTCCGCGCGTCGACACGCCGCACATTAATACTACCTTACCGATCAGCCTCGTTGCGCACTCTTACTTGTACTTGTGCAAGTGTGTACGACGGTAGGCCCGGGACAACCCCCGCGAGCACTTTCCCGCTGCCCCGCGGACACCCCTTGGCACTGATTACCGCCTCTCTGATATGACTCTCGCGAGTATATACCTATACCAACTCTCGGTATCTTTCGCGTAAGTCATTGTTGTGTTGCTGCTATGCCACTGTTGCCGCGTCTGGATCGGTTGATGCTTGTGGCTCGTTGAGCGCTACGGTACACGTGAGAGGAGCCAAATTTCCGGAAAAGCACCCGACGCTACGTTTTTGCGGAGGAAAGGAGGAGGACTGCTGCACACCGAGATCGGTAAGTTAAACTATAAAATGGGCGAGAGTGACGTTGTGTGTGTGTATAGGTATACCGATCGATTCGCGGGAAGGGGGAGCGTTCATCGCGAAATTTCGGAGACGAAACGCATCGGGTATAAGTGCATGATACATACGTGCAGCGACATTATTTTATCATCATGTACATGTTGTGACAGTAGGTTGGCTGCCCACCTACTTCCCGTATCTGAGGGATCTGGAAATTTTCTGCGCGCTCTCTTTCTTCGTCTCTCGCAAAAGTGTATCGTACCCCCGATAAGTGTACACGCGTGTGTATTATATATGCATATCGCTACTTGCGAGCTGGAGCGCGATCAGTGACTCGCAAGTCACAAACGAGCAAACACGCGCACGTCGCGGCAAAGTGTCATCCGTCAATTTTTTACCTTATCGTCTCGAGATAGTTGGTTTTTTTTTTCGGCGTATACGGAAGAAAAAGGAAGATCGGTAAGATGCGTTTTACGTTACATATACCAAACGCGTACAAGTACGTGGCTTTCTTTTTTTTTTTGTTTCCTATTTCGGTGCATTTTGACCAACGCTTACATAACCAGATCTCTCCCCCGTTCTCGATCGCCGCGGTATACTTGTGTCGTGCAAACGTATCCTCGAAGCCCCAAAAATCTAGGGAAATACGATTGATAATAATAATCTGTACTTCCAGCCGATTAATCGGACGATGTTCGTATGAGAAAAAATAAAGTGCAAACGCGCGCGCAACACGGGTTTTCGCAACAACTTTGGGCAGCTCGATCGGCCGGTCTGACCCTGAGGCGAGCGTCAGCGCCCGACATACCGATAACGCACAACTCTTTCCATATATCGAGGGCTTTTAATTGACCAGCGTTCGTTTTGATGTTTGCACCGTCATTCGATTGGCTCGAACGCATCAGAGAGAGAGAGAGGCAGCGGTTATTATAAAAAAATCTGATCGGTATCGTGCTTCAAGGTGAACCATGCACCTCGACGAGGAGCTGCAGCACGCCTTGGCGCAGGTAGCCAAGAGGGAGGCTGCCGGTTACCAGAGCGCCTACTGTTGGACACCCGAGTGGGACCACCACCACCAGCAGCAGCAGCAGAACCAGTTACCGATCTACGGGAACGATTGCTGGAGCCACCAGGACGCGGAGCAGTACGGCAGACTGCCCTCGGTCGACGCCGCCTTTTCTCGCTTCTCGGGCGTCGGTGGCGGCCAACTTCCCGAGGACTTTGACTACTCGGGCGGCTACCAACCCACCCAGTACCAAGTGTCAGCCAACGACTTTGCGAGCAGCTTCTTCTCATTCCCCTCCGAGTTCCAGCAGTCGCAGGTCAACATCGAGGAGTCCCTTCGGGTGGTCGACGACTTTGACCTCAACCTCATCAGGTACGTACGATATACACTCCCGATTTTTATGTCATTGAACGAGCTTCCGTGTATATATCGGCTTTCACAAAATTGCAGAGGCGATCCAACGACTTTGTCGAACGCCGACTCGTCGCAGGCGATGGACAATCGGCAGCAGAGCTCCGATTACGGGGAGATCGAGCCGGTCTACCCGGTCGGCCATCTGGTCTCGACGCAGCCCTGCAGTCCACCGGTCACGTTCGGGAACGAGCTGCTCGACGGGATAAAGAGCGAGCCCACGGCAATGACCCTCGACGGTGGCAATCAAATCGTCCTGTCCAGGGACGAGGGTCTGGTGCTGGCTAGCGAGCAAAATCGGTACTTTGAGGCGCGCGTCGAGCCACCCGAGAGGGACAATCACGAGGAGTCTTACGGTGAGTGACGTTGTTTCCCAATGACTCGCGGTGACGCGTATGGAAAAATAAAACAAAAAGTTATACCGATACGCTCTTTCCTAATGCCTCTCGAGCGCGATAAGGACGATAAAGAGAGAGAGAGCGCGTACACCTATATATGCAACGATACTGCATTGTACATATGTATGTACGTATGTATATATCTCCGAGGGGAAAAACCAAGTGAATGATTGTGCGTGAATTTGTTATTTTTTAAAATCAGGAAGCGCCCAGTCGGACGACGGCTCGGCACCGTCGTATCCGTGTCTCTGGCTGGACTGCGGCTGTTCCTTCGGCGAGCAGACGAGCCTCGTCCAGCACATCGAGAGGCGACACGTCGAATCGTCGTCCACCTCGGGCCACGGGGGCAATCGCCGGCTTCACAAACTCGACAAGGACAGGGACAAGAGCCGAGGGGAGCAACAGCCGCATCAGCAACAGGAGCCCGATTGCCAATTTGCCTGCCTCTGGAAGGGCTGCTCCCGCGATCGGCCCTTCAACGCGAGGTACAAGCTCCTGATACACATGCGCGTCCACAGCGGGGAAAAGCCCAACAAGTGCCCCGTTAGTATACATACATACATAATTTTTCAATTTACCAAAAGATCGGCGTGTGTAATAGTACAACCAACGGACTGTGCACGTTTTTCAGTTCGCCGGTTGCAAAAAGGCCTTCTCGAGGCTGGAGAACCTCAAGATACACCAGCGCTCGCACACGGGCGAGAGACCCTACGCCTGCCAGCACCGCGGCTGCACCAAGGCCTTCAGCAACAGCAGCGACCGCGCCAAGCACCAGAGAACCCACTACGACACGGTAAGCGCACAACCATACGTATGAATACAATCGCACGTAAATTTGAATCTCATGGGATTATTGGGTCGTTGGGTTTATTCGTAGAAACCGTACGCGTGTCAAGTGGCGGGTTGCGGCAAGCGCTACACCGATCCGTCCTCCCTGAGGAAGCACGCCAAGAACCACGCGGATGTGACGAGCGGCCTTCCAGCGTCGGACGCCCGGTCGCACCCGTCCTCCTGCAAAGCCTCGGCGAACCGGAGGACCTCGAGCTCGTCCAGCGCCTCGTCGATCCTCAACAACAATGGTTACCGGCACCAGCCGGTGGGGCTTCAACAGGTCACGAGGCACGCCTCCGTCACGTCCGACTATGGCTCGCAAAAGGACCAGCAGTCGATCCACGACGGGTTCGACGACGCCGAGCTCAAGTCGTACCCGGTCTCGCCGAGGCTGGCCCGCGTCCCCAACAACCAGCTCGACGAGTACGTACCTTACGAGTCGGTCGCGCGCTTTCTCGTTGACGACAGGAGCAGCCAACACCACCTCGGCCTCGACAACATCGGTAAGTCCTTTTATACATACATACATTTTCATTATCGGCGTTTGGCAAGAGCTAACACAAAAAACGAACGTTGCCCGAGTCAGATATTCTCGCGAGTGCGTAGCTTTTTTTTTTTCCTTTCGTTTGAATCTGAATTTTTTCGGTTGGAGGGGTGGAAATATGCGCATTCCCGAAATGACGCGAAGAAGCGAGATGAAAAAAAAAGAAAAAAAAAAAGGTGCGCGTGCACGTATAGGGCCCAATGTCGCGTTTACGGGTCGGTGCGGGGGGAGGGCACCATGTTGAATCTCAGAGGAGGTGTACTTTCGGTGACGGGGTTTTGCGCCTCCGTGTATATACCCCACACCGAGTCTTAAAATAATTTTTTGGCTTACGCGCGTTACTCGACCCACGTGCCGGGGCCCTGCCACGTGCGACGCACGCGCTCCTTTTTCTTCCCTTTCTTCTCCCTTGAGCCATTTTTACAACACGCCCGGCTCGCCTCTCTACTTTCCCCCTCCCCCCCCCTTCTTTTATCGTACGTGCATGTAACGTGCACTCGATGGTTTTATCGGTACGTATATTTTACATGATCTTTCTTTCTCTCGATTGGACCGCGGATCGTTATAGATCGGTAGAGCCGGTTTTTAACAGATAAATTTTTTTTTTTTTTTTTTTTTTTTTTATCGTCGCTCGACTCATTGTTTTGTGAATCGACTGTTTTAAGGCTACACGGCTGACGAGGACATCAGCGACCTCCACGACTTGGGGTCCGACATTGAGTTTTTGGAGCTCAACAGCCTCGACGACTCGGTTTTCATGGGAGAATAACACCGATGTGCATTGCAACGTTGTGGTTGAACATTTGTTGAATCCACTCAAGACTGCTCCTGGAAAGTTTCCATCATTTTGCGAAACCAAAAATGATACTATACGCGTATCGCTCGTTCATTATCATGTCGTTGGATAAGTATAATATAATTATATATATAGGAGAAAATGAAAGAAATTGATGAAACGAACAACGTGTTGGGTGATTTGAACCAAGATTACTTTTATGACGATCATGATAAAATCAATCGGTGTTTCGTACATTTGTATAGGTACTTATGGCGTTGTATAGAAAAATACTTATATGTGCGTAGATTTAGATTACTTGATTTTTTTGATTTTTCTTTTCTTATTTCTTTGATTTTTTTGTTTTTTTGTTTTGTACATTTGTAAATACATTATCTAGGTCAGATTGGAACAGAGCGTTGATAAACTGCGAAACTCAAGTATTATACTATCGGTTGGTTTTATACTGATTTATAATATATGTATAATTAAAAACAAAGTGATGACACGTCATGTTATTTGCGCCTCGGCTCGTGTATCTTGGACTCTGCAATTGTGTGGATGCCTTGGGCTCTACTGTTTGCAAATCGGTACTTGATTGCCGCCCGGTATTTGCGAGCAGACCACGCCGGTAAAGTTTCGGAAGGCCTCGCTACTCTTTTCCTGCAACAATGCGTGTGTGTGTTTTTTTGTTTAACCTCATGTAAATCTGGGACCAACGAAGCCGCGAGACTTTGCATAAAATAGTTGTTATTTTTTGATCGAAAAACTGTAAATACTGTACATTCTATTTTTTACGCGCCGAGCGATTATATAGTCAAATAAGTATATGTATGCTAACACGATACTGGAGAATAATAGGGAAAAATTAAATACTTAGCGGACCAATGGAAAAATGTAATCAAAGTCGTTGTTGTACGTATAATTGCCAATAAAATGTGATAAATACATTTTCATGAAACATCAAAGGTTAACTCTACTTCAATTTTAAAACCTGCCATCTCAAAGAATGAAAAAAGAATTAAATAATAAAAATTTAAAAAAAACTACTGATTTACATACCATTCGTAAAAGTAATGCTTCATATAGCTTTTTCAGGAAAAAAAGAAAATTATGTAAAGAACGAAATTGCGAAAATAGCTAAACTATTCGAATGGAATTTGTAAAGATGCACATTAACTTGTAGTGCAGTGAAGTAATGTGATACACAATGTACTTATCGTTTCGTGCATCCGTTCGACGTATACTGACAATAGCCAATTTATTACACGAATGCGCTCGTGCTCGAATACAAATACTAGCCTCTCGTATCGCATCATTATTATTTATTACGTAAAATTAAAAAAAAACGAAATTGTATTACTAACCGTATTATTTTTCGATGGCAGCCGGAATCGCGTAGTTTGATTTTTCGTAAGACGAATATGATTGTAACACAGTATATTATACACACAACTTACCCCATTGATGACGATGGACGGGACGAACTCGAGGGGCGACTGGAAGCCCTTGGTCTTTTGGCCGTGTTTCATGAACAAGTCGTCGCCCTGCTTGGAGTTGCTACAGTTTTCGACGTTTTTGACGAACTCGTCGTTGAAACCCTGAGTTTGGGCGCACTGAGGCAAATAGTACGTCTTATCAGTTTTTTCGTAGATAAACGCAAGTATTTGGGAAGAAAAAAAAATCAAGCGGTGCACCTGTGCCCTACATTCGAATCCATCATTAAAAAAAAAAAATCTCTACAGCAAAATTGACAAATTAAACTGCCATACAGATTATTATCTCACTCGAGAGAACCTATAATTGTGTATCCGTATAGTTATATATTGACTATTGAATTTATGAGTATACGTAGGAAGAGTGATCAACGTAAAATTAATTAATTGGGCCATGCTCCTATGTGCTCGTGGCCAATCTGGGTTCACGGAATTTTTTTTTCCATGCCATACATTTTAACCTTCGGGACAATGGTGATTGCGTGAATTTTTTAATAATTAAGTATCAAGAAAAAATTTTTCAATTAATATTTTTTGCTCAAAACAAATTTTACGTTACAATTCTTGGTACATTTTGAACAAAAAAATAAAAACAACATAAATCTTTCGGTTTTAACTTTAAAAATTCCCGGTGTGTGGATAAATGTGTTTTTTTTTTGCCATTTTCAACCACCTTGCTCAGCTTTCACTGTATTATTTTCAATAAATTTCAATACAATTTTCCATCCACTTTGGCTCAAAATTGACCTCACAGTGCGTACTTTATAAAAAAAAAAAAAAAAAAACTACGATAGCCCATTGCCAAATCACTAAGGAATTGTTGATCAACGCATTGTCGTTTTCATATACCTACTACCCATAAACGCCTATACTTACATGTTAGGTACACATGTATGGCACGTACAGATAATCAGTTTTATCGTTACTATCTGGCAACGAGCGATCGGAATTTTTTTTTATCCAAAAGTATACACTATAAGGTAAATTTTGAGCCCATGTGAATTGAAAATAATGCAGTAATAGCTAAGCAATTTGTGGTTGAAAATTATAAGAAACGCATTTTTTCAAACTTCAGGAAATTTTTCACGCCAAAACTAAGGGACTTGGCTTGTTAAAAATGTTGGAAAAATTCTGTTGACCAAAAAAATGAAAATTTTTCTATTTGTCATGAACAATAAATTATATTTTTTCATGGTTCATCGCGTTCAAGAGATCAACGTGTATCGAATGAAAAAAAAAAAAAAAAAATTCCATGCACCCAGATCGGCGACTGGCACATAGGAGAGGCAAAATCTAATTAAATGTATAATGACGAGGCCGCTACGACGACATTATACCGACGCAATATACGATTACACGCGCAGAGAGAGGGAGTAACGTAATAATTCTTTAATGACGGTAAAGTTAAATTAAATTTTGCGTAACGACGACATTAAATCGTGGATGGATGATGGTGTTTACCTGCTTCAAAGCAGCCTCGGGATCGAAACTCGTCATGGCGCAACCGACAAAGTCGATCATTCTTTGCTGCTGGTCTTCGGGCTTGACGGTGTTCTCGATCTCGTAGATCGCACACGCGTGGATCTTGTTGCCGTGGCATTCCATCGGCCCGTGCTGGCACGACGAGTGGACATTATTCCCTTCCTCCGTCCACTAAACGCAGTTTATAGTATTTCGGTTTATTCAAATGGCTCTGAGATGAGTTTAAACGATGGTCTTACCGATGCCTTGCCGAACGGAACCAAATTGACGTTCAAGTGATCCTTGAGGCCTCCGTTGAAGGCTGGTGTCAGTTGTTTGGTGATAAAGTACATGCTGTCCGGGCACAGGGTCTCGTAGTACACGTCGACGTTGAGCTTATCCTCGCCAAGCACCTAAAATGAAAAATTTGCATGAAAAAAAAAAAAAAAAAAAAAAAAAAAAAAAAAAAAAAACCAACTTACAGATCGAAAGGAAAATAAGAAGTGCACTTACGGCGGCAAAACAGCAGGAGAAGGCCACTAGAGCCGCAAAGGCGATCGGCACAGCCCGGTTCGGGTGATACATGGTGCGCGATTCGAGGAGGTCGACAGAGTTCGAGACCGGAGAACCGAATGACGAGCGATCGGCAAGTCGAAGCTGCTTTAGTTGGCTGGAAAGCCCAACAAGCGGGAGAAGGAGAAGATCGTAAAAGTCCGGCTTGAGAGGGGAACGTTTACGAGATGTGCACCACAGTGTCCGGAGAGTTTATATATACGCGTGACCCATCGGGGAGGGATAAGATCTCTCGTCCGTTTTGGACAGCTATGTGTGTGTGTGTGTATTTTACAATCCACTTCTAGCGCTCTATACTTTTTGCTTCTTTGGGTTATTGTATTATATTTGTTACCGGGCAGAGTGGAGGTACTTTCTCGCCCACCGATGCGCGTGTTTTAGATCGGCTCCCGTTTATCCGCAAAGTGGCGCAGATAAGACAAAAAGCGAAAAAGAGTATTATCGAAAAACAAAATCTTTGCTTTCGTTTACTGTATCTGTGGAGCGAGAAATTGATAAAACGTGCCGATGGAGCGTGAACAAAGAAACACGGTTTTTCCATTTTTCGTCGAGTCATTTTATGGTGCTGCTAGAAATCACTCGATGCGCGCATAATATTTGGTATTTTGTTCGCTTGAGAAAAAAAAAAATAATAATAACAAACAAAAGAGAAACAAAAATAATGAGATCACTCGTAAGGCACGTACACGTATAGGGTAATTTGTATCATGAAAATGCGCTCGTTGTGTTCGATCGCGCTTTTATGTAATTCTCTCGTGTATAGCATTATTATAATGGCAATATGGTAACGAGGCATTGAAGTAACGTGCTTACATGCGAATGACAAAATTAGCACTGAATAAATGAGACAACGGCATTAACATTTCGTACGAAACAGTTTCTATTATTCTTATTATTATGATACAATAAATATTCAACAAGTCGAGTGGAAAAAAAGCAAAACCGAGTGTTTAAGGCTCGATGCCTTGACCAAATTCTATAGTCGGTTGGAGCTGCCTGTACTGCTGCTCCAGATCGCGGTATCTCAATCTGAAAGTTTCGGCCAGCTTTGGATTCTTCTCTACCCCCTCGCCGAGCTCGTGCAGGCGGGATATGTACATGCAGGCGTTGGGCACGCCGTACTCGCAAGCCAGTAGGGAATACTTGTAGGCTTCGAGGGGGCTTTTCTCAACGATTCCGTCGATGCCGTTTATAAAGAGACCCGTGAGGAAGTAACAAGCCTTTTCGTTTTTACTCTCGACGCAGCCTTTACTTAGCATGTTTATGCCACTCTGTATGACGGCTTGTTTGTTCTCACGGTTCACGTCAACGTTCGTTATCGAGACTATGCCTGCGTTCGTGCATCCGATTCCATCGCCAAAGTCGCAGCCCTTTTTCATGTATTGAAAAGCCTCCACGATGTTCTTCTTGCAACCTTTACCTGTAGAAAGACAGACGAGTTATTATTTTTCCAAGTTGTATTTTGGGCCTTGGCATAATTAGTTTATCATAAAAATAATACGTGACTGATGCAGAACGAGGAAAAAGGGTTTATAACACTAAAGTCGAAAAGTATGAAAGTATACAACATAGTTACAGCTGATTTAAAATACAACCATTAGCTAAAACAAAAAACAATTTGACAACTCCAACAGGTGTAGGTGATTACGCGAAAAAAGAAAGTTCGTGTCTCTCAAGGAAACTTTCACTTTTATCCTTATTAATAAAGCATAAGTATGTATTTTTTTTTTTGCCAATAAGAGGAGTGCGCTGACGACTACTGACATCTGTAAATAATGTATCTGATGAGTACAGTGGCCTTCCTTACCTATGAGCTTCCATCCACCGAGTTTGGCGCAACTCCTGCCGTAATCGAGATTGTTGCAATTTTTCTCGTAAATACTGGCAGCCTGCTTGAAGTCCTTTTTAATGGCCTCGTTGTAATCCCCGAGCAGGTGACACACTGCAAGCCCACAAACGCAATTCTGCGATGAAACAACACAACGGCATAAAAAAAACAAAAATAAAAACAAGGGCGTCCCCTTGTAGGTTATGTCTCACCCTCCGGCTTCTTTTCCCCGTAGCAGCCGAACTTGTACTCCGTGTAGAGGTTCTTCAGGTACTCCCGGACCTGCTCTTCGTCCTTGAAATCGTAGCCTGCCATGACTGCATGAGTATATATATTATGCAGCCTCGGCGGCAACAACCGTCAACACAATCGGGGAGGCAGTGAGGCACGCGCAGCAGACGAAAACTGCGACCCCATCCTGTGCATGCCATTTGTAGTTTCCAAAGTAGCCGCGAGATGATGCAGTCATGCTGAAATCGAGCGCGCGCGTCAAAGCTTCGGGGGAGCTTGCACAGGGTTGCGCGCGCGCTTTAGTTCGGCACCGCGAGAGACGGGTGTTTTATTTTACACCCCCTTGGGATGGGGAAAAAAAAAAATTAGTAGGTGTCCAGGGCTTGCGATGGAATGTCGAGGCCGGCGCGAGTGACAGTCCTGTGCTCGGCGATCCTGGACGCACGGCGCTGTTTTCAATGACGACAGACTACGAAGGACGAGACCACCCGTCGAGGTGAGCCACTTTTTTTTCTGTTTACTTTTTAGCCCTTTGGTGTGTATGTATATGTACATTAGGCGCGCATTTGTAAATTTTGGCATAGCAGTATAAAACACACGCCAACAACTGGACCGTGGCATTAAACGTACGAGGGTTTGTTATTGTTGTGGTAAACAGTAGTGTCAGCCGCGCGCGCGTTGCGTAAACTTTGCCGGATTAAAAATTAAACGCGGACATCATGCCCTATCATGTATAACCTACCGGTGGGTATAGGTACAAGCTCGCGGGTTGTGCAATGTCACCTGTGGCTTCGACCACTCCCCCCCCCCTGCATTACCACGAGTGACGTCATGCCAGACTATACGAGGATGTGTGTAAATGTTTAATATTGAAGATCAAACGGTACATAAGTCCTTTGACGTAGGTATACCGCGTTTGTTTATCCAAAAATGAAGGTCGACGGTTTTGCGAATCGTTTGTCCATTTTCCAATATATAAAAGTGAAACGAGGCCAGTTGTTTGTACAACAAGAGGCAGCGTAAGTGATGGGCGCGCGTGTGCCGGTTGATGGATGGTAATCGTTGCGTGCGCCCATATCATCTCGGCCCACTTGCGCCGTTGGACATACACCCCCGCAAGAGCATTGGAGGATTAGGGGACACTCGGTCACCGGGTCGGCCGGTTATGTGCTCGGGGGTTGTATATATACAGTATTGTTGTTATCTACCCCTTGGATCTGCCGTTTAGTGGTTAGCTCGTGGTGCGTCCATAGGTACACTTCAAAGACTCGCACGGGGGCGATTAGGTACACTCGTTTGCAACCTCTACCGGTGCAACGCTTTTTTTATGTGTACCCACGCCACCAGAGTTGATTTATTCTTTTGCGCGAACTCATTTGTTTTTTCCCGCAAAAAAAAAAAAATCCATTAGAGCCACGTATACGCAGGGACCGATGATGATAAAGACATACGGTAAACAAACAGTTCCGCGAATCGGCGATCGATACGCGATCCGATGGCGTTTGAAAAACAATACATGCGCCACGTTATATTCACGGACAGCTGTACACTTGAATTAAACCGGACGAAATGGACGGTTCAACGGCTCGGCCAGTGTGGGGGTATTGTATAGGCAGGTTCAAGGTCCCTCCTCGAGCGGGGGATGATCGGGTTATCAAACTCGGGAAAATCGTATCGGCGCACACGCGCGTACGTGCCTGCCCTATACTCCATACGAGACCGAGACCTTGATGATAGGTCGTGTACTTACATTATGATACACTTGTCGGGTAACTATTTATTACTATACGATATATAAACACTTGAACGGGAAACTCGGTACGGTTCCAGAAAAAAAAAAAAAAAAAAAAAAAAAGTATAGAGGCAGGTATAGTTGCCGATCGATTTCACTTAAACTTGTTGGGATACATCAATCATTGAATTATAAAACGTACGATTTACCTAAAATCGATGAGCATTAATATTGGAGGGAGAGAGTCGAACGTTGTATAGGGCGAATGGATGTGTATAACGTACGCATAAATCTGTTTTGTCGTTGCAGATGAGCGAGTCGGTCAAAGTGGCGGTGAGATGCCGCCCCATGAATCAGAAGGAGCTGCAGCACAAGTGCAAGGTAAGCTTTTCAATTAGTCACGGGCTGTATACCTATATGATGTTCGGTGTACGTGACTAATGTGTAATCAGTCGAATCGAAGAAAAAAAATCAAAAACAAAGGGAACGCGCGGAGCATTGTTTGAATGTCCACAATCGCACGTGTGTGTCCGTGTATATACATACATGGGTGCAAAAGAGCGAATTATCGAACGCGACAGCTGCAAGTGTAAGTACAAGTGTGTAGCCTAGCGACCAACACGAAACACATACTGTTCACATGTGCGCTTAAATGCGTGAGTCCACGGCTACTTTATTTATTTCTTTTTTGTCCCACTGTTGGTTTAAGAAAGAAAAGACAAAAAAAAATTCCCGATCATAAGCGCGATGAGTTTATTTACGAAATCGCGCGCGATCGCAATCTCACCTGCTGTTCAACGTATGCCTTTTGGTATTTTGATTAATTCTCGAGAGTGCGCGGGTTCACGATACGGCGTACCACTGTGTTTTCGGAATATTACTCCCGTTCGAGCGGGAACGCGATATCGCGTGTAGATAAGAGCGATAAAAAAAAAAAAAAAAAATATTTGTCCCACCGTCAATCTATCGAATGGTTGGGGGTAATTCAATAATGTCGGATTGATTGATTCAACGCGCAATCCAGATGTTGACAAAAATATGATGTATGCGCCATCGTAACTCGACTTGTACCCAGTCAACGATTGACTTGGACTTTGGACACTCGAATTGTTTTATCAAAACACGTCTATATGAAAATGACTGTAAATGTAAACACGACAATCGAGTCACCATCGACAATTTTACGTCAAAATAAATTTTATTTACAAGTAATAAAAAAATAATTTATACGCAAATAAAAAAGATTCTTATAGCGCTCCAAAGTCCCCGTGGACCACATTCGAGCGATTACTGTTTATTATTGGGTATACGCGTGTATTATATATATATACCTGTACAGATTAAATATCGAGTTAAAAATGCACTTTGCGAGAGACGTATGTACGTACGTGCATCGGCGGAAGTATACCCGTTACGCGCGTACAGACTACTCTATACGATCAACTTTTATGCGTCGTAGCTATATATATATACATATATATATATATATAGATACACACACA